ATTGTGAATATCAATTCGTATATGCAATTTGAGATCCAAGATGCTCTTGGCGACAGAGATCATTCTGGTTGCTGAATTTTTCAATTTATGTAACTTCGCTACATCGATTACACCAACAACACGTGTGTCGTGTGTGTGTAACATGCTTATCTATATACAGCGCGGCAATTGTGGACGTAAAATCTACAAAATGGTAAGAAGACAGTATGTACAGTCATTGGCAGAATTGTTCCCGAATCGAGTGACTCGAGGCGAATTGTCGAGAGCGGATACGTGTTGCTATCGCGGCCTCCTTTACATCTTTTCTCGCTCGCTGCACTTCTCCCTCGTTCGCTATACTCTTTTCTTTGATCTGGACTCTCGCTTTCGCAGTCCGCCTCGTCTCTCTCGTAACTCGCATTGTTTACCGATACGCGATCGACATATTACGAGTCGTGTACAGTGAGTCACGAACGTGTAATATTTAGACGCTTGCAGGCGTAAAGCATAAATGCATACCGTTCGCATAAGTTACACTGGAACTTTTAAGATGTAGTTCTAAGAAGTTACGTAGTTTGGATGAATTTCGTGAGCTGCTTCAAACATTGAACAAACTCTTTACTGCTCAATATTTGATATCTTTTGCTACCTTTATAATTTTACAAAGTTACGTTAAAAAATTCAAGCTTTGGCACGGTACTGTATTATTAACAATTACTTTATATTAAATAAACTAAGTTTCAAAGTTATTAAATATCAAAAACAACATTCCAAAAGCTTCAGTATAACCGTTTTCCAGCGTTTCATTTCGTTGTCTCTGGCTGCAAAACGTACAAGCATATTTTTGCCGCTCACTGCAGTTCGCTATTTAGCTGAAGACAAGATATGCGCTAGAGCATTGGTATACAATGAGATACCTACACATCGTGGAGGTTTTTACTTCGAATATATAAATAAGACTTCCGCGTTGAACGCGAAATGTTCGAGCATTAATAGAAAGTTAGGAGAACAGGAGGTAAGTAAAAATATGGAAGAGAAGAAAAACGGTTGAAAAACGGATGAAAGAATGGTCGTCGAATGGCCTAATATCTCGCGTATATTACTCTATTTCATTTTCGTGCTCAGACACTCGATTATCCGGACACTCGATCCTCATTCACGCGGAAACTTACACGCTTCTATCGTGTCATTCTCACACATTCTTTCCCTTTCGCATCAGCAAAAACCGCAAATTATTAACATATTGAGTTTCAGTCTAAGATTCAGCACGCTGCGAATACGTCTAGCTGTTCTCAATGTCGAATTAAAATAGTCATCGTTTGCAAACGGTAGTATCATCGACTAAAGAAGATCCTTTTCGAAAGGTTCAATTTCGCTCTTCCTACGATTACGTAAATTGTAGTATAATAGGAGCACTATTACGCGTATAATATATGCTCTTATCGAGCCCAATTCCCATTACATTCTTAGATATTCATGGAAATTGGTGTAATTTTTTTTTTTTATCGTCGATTCTCAACATGTTAACATTTACATAAATAATGGTGCACCTGAGAGCCAGACTAGTATGATAAGCCACGTAACTGCAACTTCATAGACATCTTGTACTCACTGTCGTAACGTTAATACTGAAACGATTCCAGTTTTATGGCAAACACACATTTCTGTTTATTTCGAGATTCTTTCTTACAGGATGTTGCCCATTTGTTCGGATGATTTTGAATATCTCTATAATAACACCTTTGAAAGGTGTTTATATAATATAAAAACATACGACCAAGAATTCATATATTCATGTTAAAATAGTCGCATACCTTTTGTGTGAAAGACATTCAAGATTGCTCAGAACTATTTGAGATTGATTGCAATTGATTCCCTTCTTTCCCAATTCATGGCAACGTGAACTCTTACAATCTGTTCAATTAATCCATTTCCAAGTAGATGCCAAGAGATATTCAAAGTTGTTCAAACGCACCATATCCTGGATATCACAAACATCGTATAGAACTGTTGAATCGTGATACATACGCCCAAGGTCGATGGTTGCCGAAGCGCGGTGGACTTACGACACTCTGACTGTCAGGTACAGAATGCACTAAAACGTAACGTGTCACACTTCGTAGCCTCTGGCGGCGGTTTTTCTCTACTCGGCTCGCGGCTGCTGACTTCTTCTCTCACTGAAAAGCCAGTAGACTCGCGGCCTCGATTGAATTAATTTAAAACGCAAAGAGACAAATGAAACAAAACAAAAGAAACAAATGTTAGAGAAAAAGAAAAGAAAAAAAGAAAACACGAGATGGTAGATGCGCGGTCTCTATCCTGATTCCATCGGCGGCCATGAAGAAGAACGGGCCGTCGTGTATCGAGGGATCATGGAGAAACTGCCTCGATGCAGAGGGTCGTTAAGCACCTTTCGGTAGGTAGGCCGACCGGAATGCAATTTTTTTTCGCTTTTTCTTCTTCTTCTTGCTCTTCTTCTTCTTCTTCTTCTTCTTTTTTCCCCTTTTCTTATCTCTTCTTTCTTTTGTTCACCGCCTAATTGCACACGTGCTCTTCTCGTGTGTGTCGACACAGCTCACATTTCACATGACAACACCAGACGAATCGACAGTTGCACTTCTCGGTCACGTCCCGGACTCTCGTCTGGTAGCCTCGACCGCAGCATAGTAACCGACATCCGTCCAAACCGAGGGACGTCCGATTGCATATCCTTCCTCTTGTCCCGGGGATACCGAGTCTGAAATTAGCAATATTTAATTTTTCGATTATGAAAAGAGGCATATGAAACGAGAACTGCAACAATAAGTATTGCACATCACAATTGACCGAATTGAATGTAAATTAAAATGGGACAATGATATTTGAAATAAATACTATAATACGATTTCAATTAATTCATTGCTTTATTTTCTAATGTAATTCAAAGGAATGTATAAAAATAAGAATAAGAATATTTAATTACTCACGTGATATTTTTCTCGCAGTAGTCAGGACTATCTTCAAGGTACACTAGGTCCGTTTTATTAGGTCGTTTGAGATCCGGACGAGCAGGCCTTAATCTCGCTGGTCTTCTTCCTCCACGTTGTGCCAATCGAACTAACGCTGCGCCTTCGTGTAACGCAGCTAAAGCTGCTCCAGCTACTCTGAATGCTGGAAGTCTTCTCCAACACACGCGTACGCTGCATGATCCGGACATACCTGTGACAACATGACAATAAAACAATTGTGTTTCAATAAACTAAATAGGCTAGAAAAATAAAAGGAACAGATTGTTAGTATACAGAGTAATATTTAATTGTGAAAAATCATAAAGACATAAATATAGCAATGTTTTTGGTTTGCAGGATCATTTAGCAGAGCTATCAAGTGTTATATATTTTGATGTATATACCAAATTTATAAACAACATTTCAAAACAAATCCAATGAGATTCTACAATCTTGTAATTGGAAAACTTTCTTTTATAAGTGAAGAATACACTTTGAATAGAAATTGATCATTTCATTCATTATTGCCTATCAATTGCTTTAATTGCTTGAATTAAATTAAGTGTTATATATTTTGATGTATATACCAAATTTATAAACAACATTTCAAAACAAATCCAATGAGATTCTACAATCTTGTAATTGGAAAACTTTCTTTTATAAGTGAAGAATACACTTTGAATAGAAATTGATCATTTCATTCATTATTGCCTATCAATTGCTTTAACATATGCTTGAATTAAATTAAGTGTTATATATTGTGATGTATATACCAAATTTATAAACAACATTTCAAAACAAATCCAATGGGATTCTACAATCTTGTAATTGGAAAACTTTCTTTTATAAGTGAAGAATACACTTTGAATAGAAATTGATCATTTCATTCATTATTGCCTATCAATTGCTTTAACATATGCTTGAATTAAATTAAGTGTTATATATTGTGATGTATATACCAAATTTATAAACAGCATTTCAAAACAAATCCAATGAGATTCTACAATCTTGTAATTGGAAAACTTTCTTTTATAAGTGAAGAATACACTTTGAATAGAAATTGATCATTTCATTCATTATTGCCTATCAATTGCTTTAACATGTGCTTGAATTAAATTAACTTAAATATCCTCTGCTATACTTGGCATAACATACTTTGGTATCTTCTTCGATCCCAATGTCACCCTGTTCAAATCTGACTTGTTTAAATCATCAAAAAATAAGAAAAATCCTTGAAAAAAGAAAAAAACAAGGTAAGAAGAGACAGTTCATGTGAGGTTGGTAAAACCGAACATCACATTCCACCTTTTCATGGCACGCTTTGAGGTTGAAGAAACAGGTCTCAGGAGAAATTCTTCTACCCATGAATTTGTACATGCATGAATGCAGCGAGGTGCGGGGCGAGGGAAGACAAGGGATTGGTGAAATCCTAAGTCGTTAAAGGGTAAGGAATGAAAAATAAGAGCGTAGATAAAGGGTCTTTTATCCGTAGAACGCGTTAATAGCTCACCGTGACACTTGCACACACGTTGCATTCTTGAGCGGACCGCGCGCCTGCCAGCTTCACTATCGTGCTTCCTCATCAGCTGGCCAGCCAGCCCTTTTGGTCCGTGAAGCACACCCTCCTTCACGGGTTCCTCGCCACTGTCGGACCACTCTCGCGAGAACTTCTCTCCGAAATGGATGTCCTGAATGAGAATGAAAATGTCCTTGACGTCAGATTCGATTTCACATAAGATTAGGCAAGAATTTTTTTTTTTTATTTTTAATTGGTAAAATGAAGGAAATGCTTCTTGAAAAAAGAGTTTTTAATCTAATTATTTAAAAGAGAAAAAAATCGGTATTTTAAGATGTATCTGTTCGTTTCAATTTTTATATCCAAAGCACTTAAATGGAACAATATACTCGTTATAGTATATAGTACTAGGACTTCGATCGCCAATATCTTGTACATACATATATACATACATATCTGTTCATTAATCTTTACCTGACTAACTCGATGCTTCGAGTGCCACTCGAATCTTTATTGGCCTAGTAACGTATCTCCTTCTCGATACTAACGATAAAATCACGGAAGAAAGGAAACGATAATATCAAATGCAAGCTTCCGTGTAACTCGATTGCGATTGTGTAATCTAGTTCAGGTTAAAATTTCAATTTTTTCATCTCCTTAATGCGTGAAGCAAATCACAATTAACAGCAACGGTTGCATTGAGAAATTAAAGAAGAAAGAAAAAAACCATTAGAATTCTTTAAAATTGGCAAATAACAATACTCTTCTTCGAAGCAAACTTAGGAGCATAATATAGGGTGTATTCATTTATATACCCTATATATATATTTCATATAATAGGGTATATTCATATCATTATATATATTTCATATGTCATACATCATTCATTATATATATTATATATATATTTATATATATTTCATATTATTATATATATTTCATATAATAGGGTATATTCATTTATATCCTTAGACACTCTTACTGTTTTTATATTTTTTTCTTTATGTTTTTGTTTTTCATTCTTTCGTCACGTTAAATTTATGACATATACTATGTGCTTGTCAAATTAGAAGTCTTTACACATTTTTTGCATCCCTCAAATGTAGACTAGAGATTTGGAGAAATTGCAACGAGGCTTCATAATATGTTTCCCAATATATCACAAGTAACATGTATTTTTACGTAAATAATGTAATTTACTACCTCGAAATAATTCAAAAATTGACTATATTATTATTATAATATTTGATATCGAGTTTAATTTGTTAATTGAAAAATGATTTGACTATTAAAAACTCGTTTTTTTACTAAATATCATTTACTAAATATTTCTTCTACTAAAAATATTTCCTACTAAATTTCTTCTACTAAATATTTCCTTTATTTATCTTTAACTAAATTATATATAAATAAATATTAATATAATAAATTAAATAATAAATAAATATATATATAAATATATATTAATAAAATATATATATATAAATAAATATTAACTTTAACTATAAATAATATTTCTTGCCTTAAGATTTAAAAATAAGATCGAAACTTGACTGTCGCCCAGACATGGATGAACGCGACAAACAACGTGTTAAATGCCGCTTTTGGAATGCAAAATGAAAAATATCTATCTCGTCAGAAACGTTTTGTATATTTGCTTACAACTTGTTAACGCTTTTATCCAAGATTAGCATTAAACCGCTTTCCTTTAAACAGGGCGCGATTCGTCTGAAAGGGTAAGAAATTCCAACTAGCGGACAGCCAGACTTATTGACGAGAGGTATAACAGTGGCAGCGATATTCGTCAGGCAAGCT